CTACGTAAGTTGGTATGGAATGGCCCTGCTTAACTGTTTTAGCTGTGTAAGATACTTTTGCCTATTATTACAGTTTGCCATACAATGTCAGGAACCACATAAGCAAGCCTATTTAAGTTTACTGAACAGCCTGATGTGGTTTGAGGCGAGTGTGCGATGATTTAGGCATGCAGGTTACACAACACTAATGATTTCATTACTTGTTAGCTACATTAGCCTCTTCGCTCCAGTGGAAAACTAAAGAAACAAACGTCACCAAGCAAACATGACTTGACTGCTCAACCTTATCTGAGGTAAAAGGAAATTGGGTGAATTTCAAATCCCTTTTTGTCTCGATAGAATGTGGTGCCCAATCCTTGTCCTAAAGATCTACCACCCTGCAGAGTTAAGCTCCAAACCTAATCTAACACAGCTGGATCCAGATAATGAAGACCGTCAGGGGCATCTGAAGATTAGAGTCAGGTGTGTTCAATCTGAACTCTCCAGGGTGGTAGACCTCCAGGACCAGGACTGGGCACCCCTGGTGTGGAGATGGCCGAATGTGTGTGCAATTCTCACCTCATCGTATTTGCGATCGGCATCCTCAGCGATCTGTTTGGCCTCCTTCAGCTGCAGCTCCTGAATCTCCATCTTCTCCTCATCTTTCATAGCACGATTCTCAATCACCTTCATGCCTCTGTGTGTACAAACACAGAGAACATGCTTAAATGCTCAAACTCAGTGTACAGGACTTTACACAACCAGCTTCAGCACTACTATGAGACATAAACGGTGTATAAATTGCCGAGGTGTTGCAGAAGCACAGCTTTGTGCAGTTCTGTGGATTACAGTTATCTTGACACATCTCTGGTCTGAGTAAGTTAGTGTGTATAAGTATCTGTTTGTGTATTTTTGTATACTAACTAGGGCTTTCAAACTATTACATTAATTAATCACATAATTTTGTTTATGTTTATCGCGATTAATCTTACTGCTCTAATCTGACCCTCTTCTTAAAAAGCTGCACATTTTGTTATAGCTACATAAGTGGACCAAATAATCTTCTTCAGAATGTATTTATTACTTTCAAAAATTGGACCTGAACGTAAAATCAAGTGAATGCAGCCTCTTGTTTTGCTATGTTACGTCTTGTTTTGAGGAGAACTGTGTGTTTTGTTAGTTTACTGCTTATTGATTTATCCATAGGTTTCTCATAAGCACTGTCCAATGTGGTCTGCCAAATTGCTGATATTGCTGGCATCAGCGCTGCTTTCTGCTTTTAAATGATTTTTGATGTACTTTGACGGTAAACAAATTCATGAAATTGGAATACCTGCAAATAACATAACATTAAAGCCATCAGCAGAACTCAGCAATTTAAGGTTATTAATACGTTAATTTTGACACCACTAATACCAACCTCTCACTTTCATCAGCTGCTTTCTCTGCTTCCTCCAGCTTCTGCAGTGCAGTGGCCAGTCTTTCTTGCGCTCGGTCCAGCTCCTCCTCAATCAGCTGGATCCTGCGGTTCAGAGCAGCTACCTCGCCTTCTGCCTACACACACACACACACACACATTTTATTTTCTCACAGACATTTTATTACCAAGAGACAATTTTTTGTCAGATGAATTCGACTCAATATTAAAATTTTCTACATTTTCCCTTGACTTTCCCTTGTCTATTGTCTTCTATCTAATCTAGCTTCAGAAATATGAATATGAAAAGTGAATAACTTGTACAAAAAAGACCTTTTGTGCAGTAATGTGTATATGAAGGCAGTAATATGATCATATGAGCAGGTCAATCATTAACCACGTCACATTAAGGGTTCACTAATGTGTTTTTAATGTATTCTAAGACATATCATAATTGTAATATGTAGCAACAGAATCACAAAATGGTATTTGTCCAGATGAGCCAGGCCTACAGCAAATGTTAACTGTCATACAGGCAACACTTTCTCATTGCAAAATAGTACAACTATGTATACTCTTGAATAAAGATGTCTTTTTTGTAGCAAGTTTACCCCCAACTTTTGTCACTTCAATAATTTTTTCATAAAATTTTATTAAAGAAATATATATATATATATATATATATATATATATATATTTAGTTTTCAACTGTATATAAAATGAAGCATTGTTTGTTTTTATCATGGGATATCCCAGCCAGATGAAACATTGCTTTTCCTCATTAAAATTCCTCTGCAGTGATTCATAGCCCTTACTGGCTTCTCTAAACTTTCCACTGGCCACTAAACCATTACTCCCAAATTACAGGGACTTCTATTGCATATGGGACAGAATATACATGGATCAAAATATACATTTATATAAATCATGCAGATTATCACTGACTTTCTGAAAAGTCCATTCAGCATCATGTAGCAGATGTATGGTTGGAGTTTATACCACAAGGGTCAGGTTTACACTGCATTCAGATTTATAGTGGCATTTCAACTAAGGGAAAGAATGCACACTGTAATAAATATAATAAAAGGTATTCTTTATCCACATCCTACCAGATTTACAACTAGTGCATTCAGAGCACTGAGCTGTATTAAAACAGTGCATCGGGTAGAGCAGGTTTAGTATTTATAAACACACTGACTCATCCTTCACTTCTACCTTCATTCTCATTGCTTATCTGCTCACATCTTTACACGCTGTCTGATGCAATCCTGTGGTCTGTGTTCTGGAAGAAGCATTTTTATTGGCTGGTTAATCTAGAATAAGCACAAGATGCTCTATGCTCCAATAAATACTTCATGAAAAAATAAAACAGGCATTTTACATGTGTTGATCATATCTAAAACAATGAATCTGTATTATTAGCTAAATGTATGATATGTATTAGAATCACAAATGATTGACACCTGATATTCAATGTCTAATAAGCCATTAAATTCAGCAGGTCTGGACAATGGTGGCTCAAATATCTACTCAGTAAGGTATTTTTTACCTATCTACTCAGTAAGGTAGGTTTACGTCTCAGTCACATGTGGTCATTCTCGTTCACAGAAAAGGATGGTCTTTCTCTCCAGTCACTATGAGTCAGACCTAACCGGTAAAGTGCACTTTGTCTCGAGTCCAATACCGCAAAGCTGAACTTATTAGTCAAGAATCTTTACGAAGAACTTCCAGCAGTTAACATATTTCAAAGATTAAAGACTGTTCTTCCAGGCATACACAACGAGCATACTTATGGACTTGAACTCAACTGTGTTGTCAATGAGGATTCTCCATTTTGAAGTCAATCTAAAATCATAAGTAACCTTTTTTTACTTTGCTAGTTCATATCCCTGGTCATATCAAGCAACTCATCATGTACGATTTAAAACAAGGCTTCTTAACCACTGAGCTGCAGACCTGGGGCTACACTGAGGGGGAGCCAGTGGTTATTATTGGGCCGGTGATGGCACTGAAAAAAATAAATGACTTATAAGGCTAATAATTATTTTGCCACCATTCCACTTTATATGTGGTATATGTGGTTAGCCTAATCTGCTGATATTTTATGTTCAGCGTCACGCGTTGCATATCACCATGCTAAAAATTTCCAAATACAACAGCCCGAATGTCAACAACGCATTCAAACAGAAAAAACTGCAGAAAAACGTTAACGTTATACAATGTTAAGATCAAGAAGAGACAGAGAAATATCTTTAACTTTCTTTCCTTTGTGAGAGCTCTCTAAAAGATATTCTGTTTTTGGAACATGTCATTGTTTACTGGTTAATAATTACTTATCACCCCCCCACCCACCTCAGCTAATTCACAAACTAGGGCTGGGCTTATAATGAATGCCTTGATTTTGATATTGCTGAAAGTGTCTGTGGCTTAAGACCTGAAATACTGAGTTGCTGGAAGCAGGTATAATTACTGACAGTACCGGATTAAAGACTAATCTAGAACTTGTGTAGAGAATGTAATTTAGTCAGTCTAGTAGTCTACAGTCAGTTTCATCATTTTAAAGGAGCAGGAGACTAGGCTTAGTCTCCATCTGATTCAATAATTGACCAATTCAGTTACCTTCAGTGTGATGTTTAGGCAAAATATTCACAAAAAGTCTGCTACTAATATACATGTATCTTCACAAGTAAGAGGTGTGTTGGCCTTGATAGTCATGCAGTAACCTACTATGGCTAAACAGAATCAGATAGGAGAACAATGAAAAATTTAAAACATGGACAGAGCTCTTTGGTTTCTCCTTGCATTGTAGATAGCTGTTTGTTGATACCTCTTACAGGTTTCATGTGGTATTCACAAAGCCTAACTACATGCATCTAAGAGATGCATCCTCTAACCACACCCCTTTCCTCCCTCAGTGTACTCTTCAGTCGTGTAGGCCTAGAACCATATATGGCAGCACAAACACAGAAGAGGATTCTATAGTATGAGGTCATCTTTCATGTGTAACAGAGCTTTGAACCTGGAAGATGACCAGGCAAGTATGACAGGCTGTAGGGCTACACAATATATACTAAAGAAATTCTAGTGTTGCATTTATTTTGATATATATTACGATTGCAATGCACCTTGCAGCAGTGCACACAGCACAGTAAAAAAAAAAACCCTGAGTGGTTAAAGGGCTCATTTGCACATTGAAGCCTTCTGTAATATCAGTATTGCAAAAGCTACCACAGCAACAACAATGGGTGGGTAGCACTGTTTCCTCACAGCAAGAAAAGCCTGGGTTCGATTCCCAGGCTGGGTGACCAGGGTCCTTTCTGGGTCTCGGTGGCTCTGGTTTCCTCCCTCAGTCAGTCCAACTGGACATGCTAAATTCCCCTAGATGTGAATGTATATGTCTGTATCTGCCCTGCGATGGACTGGGCGACCTGTCCAGCGTGTTTCCTGCCTTCCGCCCAATGATCGCTGTAATAGGCCCCAGCTTCCCCCCGCGAACCAGAAGGATAAGCGGCTTAGATAATGTGTATGTGTGTACATGAGATTGTATTGTATATATTGTTTACAATGCCACTCCTCAACCAAAACAAAATTCCATGCCCTTGCCAAGCACCATTTCCCAAAAGTTCCTGAAGCTGGCATACTTTAAAGATAACTTTAAAGATTTTTTACAGACATACAATTTATACCTTAAGTCTTTGACTAAGCCTGTCAATTAAGATTCTTCATTTAAAGCATTTCAGTTTTAAATGGTTTAAGCTTAATCTGTGTCCAGAAAACCTTTTCAGCAGATGACAACATTGTTTTTCATATAATTCCTTGAGTATGCCTCAATATCTGGGAATCCATGTTACAAAACACAACATTTACTAACCTATTAAACCTGCTAAGCTGATGACCTAACATAGCCCCCAATAATAACCGCCTCTGTTTGCTCTTTCCTCAAGGACATGTGGGTTGATTACTCTTTGCCCTGTCTGCGCTCTCAGATTAGAGCCAAGCAGCAAAGAGAAAACTGCCTACAAGTTAACATAAGCACATAACTAGGGCTTGATCAATGTGAGGTTTTGTCAGTTCTTTGTCTGTTGCATCAGTGCATTTTTGGTGTTTTACTGGCGACCATTCAACCAATAAATCCGTGGAACCTTTATATCGGCCGTTTTTACTGGCCAAACAATACATTGGTCGGGGCCTAGGGGACTTACAGACACGTACACCTGACCCACTTACTGTTTATCTGAAACATAATGCTGACTGTGGCAAGCTCTATCTGGAAGGTAAATGGGGCAGTCAGTGAACCTGGGAGCGGTCAGCTTAAAGGCTACAAGCACTAGGCGGACATTCGGTATTAAACTGTTGGATATAATTCAAGACAATTACTATGGACTACAGAAATCTTTCAGTTTGAGGGTTTCTTAGCTGGTTTACTGGACATGGATTAAGTCTAGTCAAGCCAAAGGTAAATCATTACTGAAAAGCTTTTTTTTTTTTTAAAAGCCTTTAGCCTTATGCTTAAAATGGGTCTGGGTCACCAGGCCTCAGTGACAGTTTAATTATCTTGTACTTTGTCATCTATTTCTATACTGCTGACTGTGGTAAGCTCTATCTAGGAGGAAAATGGGGCAATCAGTGAACTTGTGAGAAGTCATGACTGGACAGTTTAGCTGTGACTCAAGGCAGTGCATGAAAATGTGTGACATATATAGCATAGTGGCTTATTATTTGCAATGCTATTAAAAGGTATTTTCCCATTACCCCAAACATAGTTTAGTTGTACACTAGGGATGCACGAATAACACCTTTTCTCTTCTGATACCGATACCTGATCAAGTGTCTGCCAATACTGAGTACAGATACCAATACTAATACTAATTGCAGCTAACCTGACCACTCAAAAAGTGCCTATAGATTTTTATATTTGTACAATTCCACTTTTTAAATACAACGCTGTTTCCAAAAAAGTTGTGATGCTGTGCAAAATATAAATAAAAACAGAATGCACTGATGTGAAAATCATTTAAACCCTACATTTATTTATAAAAGAAAAGGTGATGCAACACAGTGGTAAACATGCCTCTGTCCCAACTTTAATTTCATAAAAGCAGTGTAACAAATAAAACATACTAAGCTTGAATGAAAGACATTGTGAAATAAATAAATTCATATATGTGAACTTTCAACTTACATACACATAAGGTCAGGCCCCAGAGCATCTATGCGATTTTTCAGTGTGAAGTAAATCTATCTATCAGATTCAGACTACAGACAACTGGAGCCACGATATCATCCGGCATGTTCAGACCAATGAGTCATACAGTTATGTATCTGAATGAAGGAAAAAATACCATGGAACTATTCTCACACGGGATAAAACTCCAAACACAAACAAACTCAATGCTGTCATTTCCTCAAACACTGCAAAAATCTAGCATACCCAGTGACAAAGAGGAAATGAAGGTCAAAACCATTATAGCTGATTTGACACTCCCTGTGGTCTGCAAATGTAGTCAATAAAATTATGTTTTTATGACCTACATGGGTACAATTACCATGTAATTGGTAGTTAATAGTGCTATTATGTTGCTATGCTATTATCTTATCTTCCTATGTACCATCTTACACTGATGAGGGCTTTGGACGAGCTGCTTGTAGTTCAGACGCAGGCAGAGTGAAACTATAAAGCATTTAGCGGTTCACATGACAGGAAGCGAAAAAGGTAAAGTGTGTAAAAGGCGTCACATCCCATACTTCCCCTGGACACCGTTTCCAGGAAGGGGGCTGCCGTAGTGGCTGCATTAGTGGTCTGTTTAAGCATCGTTTCCTCTGCTGAAAACTAGGCCTGGTTTACCAGACCTTTCAGACACAAGCAAATTAAAGGCTTTTGACTCTTCCTGTGCAGTATGAATAACATATTTACAGCATGTATTCGTAGACTGGGCTTTTTATAGCAACAGCTCGGTAAAATATCAATTCTCTTACCACCAATGTAGCTGCATCCTACCAGGCCTGCACTCACATCCACTCTAGCAGAAGCATGTCAGCTTAAGCTGAATGACTGACTGTAATATTTGACCTTTCAAATGCATGCAAACTAGGAGTGTAACTATATCGTTCAGAATAGGCTTCTCAAATCAATATGCAGAAAGCTTTCAACAGACTGGAGCAAATAAAGTACTTAGCTAAAGTCTGATTATACTGCATGTAGTAGAATAAGAATTAAACAAGCAAGCCTACAATGAGGCCAGACACTCCCTCCTCTGAAAATATTGCTTCCTCTTTACCACGAAATCGACAGCAAGGAGGAAAATTCTTGTAAGCAGCATAATATTGACAGTCAATTTTTGTTGATTAATTGGCTTAAATGTGGCCTGTAAACTGTGAAAAGATGTAACAATAAATTGTTTGCCAATATTCTAATAAACTGAGATACTGTTCATCAAGATCTAAATTACAACCACAGAAAAAAGGTGATGCTTTATTTAAGGCTGTGCATAATTTTAGTAACAGAAAGTCATACAATAGCTAAAAACAAACAATATAATAATACATATGTAGAATAATGCTCTTACGGCTGCAGCATCAGTTAACCATCAGTTCACTGGGTGAGTCGTTTGCAAAAAGGTTTCCAGAATGAGCGGACAGCATTTTTTTAAGCTAGAACTATGTTTACAAAATGAGTTTCAAGTTAATTAAGCAGCTTTGTATAGTTGTGACAGGATGAGCTGCTTAAATATTCAATAGATTTTTGAAACAGTACTGCTAATGTACTGTTAAATACTTCTAATTAACAGTTAACTGATTAACTGATAAAGCTCAGAATATTCCACTGACTAATGCTGGTAGTGTAACGTAATGAGCTTTAGTGATTTTGTAAGGGTGACATTGGCTCGTTCTGACAAGTCACTTACAGTGTGAAACGTGCATCCTTAGGTTAAGCAGAACACCACTGTGACCTTTCTGCTGCTTCAGAATCAACATCAGCACGTTTTCTTTCGGTGGTCGAAGGTAACGCTGTGTGCTTCTGTGGAAGCTACGTCAGACTTGCATATCATATACTGTGTGTGTTTTTATTTGCATGCATTTTTCTACATAATTTGAACACAGCCGTCAGTCTTTACATTGCATGGCAATTTCAGGATGAATGAACCAATAGAAATGCTTCAAAATTACTTAATACCACATGAAACCTTTGTCTCTTAAATTACATTAAAAAGTCAATGTTTTTGCTTTGTCCTGTAAAGTTACTATTTTGGAGACCTGTTTTTCTTTGGACAGTGATGACACGTTGCGTGTGATTGTTTTATCCTTCATTTGATTCTTTTTTACCTTTCTTAATTGTTCTTTTCTTTCACTATCTGCTCATACAGACACTATGACACTATGTTAACACTTAACACATCAACATAAAGCAGATTTTCAGACACTGCTAATTTTTGCTGTATTGAAAAATGTATCAAATCGAGATACCATCACATTGTGTTCACACTGAATTTTGTGAATCGTTACAGCCCTGATTCAAATTAAACACTTTAGGCTCTTCTCGTGTAGCATGCATGCCAAAATATCATGGCTTCAGGGCTTCTTAAAATCCACTGAGAAGTCAGCCCTCACATGTCAGCTCTATATGCACCTTCTGGGGAATCATTTTTTCCCTCCAATGAAAACAGAAAAGAAGATATAAGCAGGCAGCAGCAGCCTTGAGGAGGGAACAGGTGGAAGAATTGATGGGAGAAATGATTCAGTGAAATTTTCCACACAGGAAATTAGTTTCTCTTTCTTTTTTTCCTCCACTGAGTCTCCTAAGCAGAAGTCCCATATCCAGTCTCTTCACAGAGCTCAGAGCCACATACGTCAGTAAACCCAAATAAACACACATTTATAATCCGATTTAATTCAGATCTGAAACTTCTGGCATGCAGAATAAAACCAAATAGTCTATATGCATAGTGTTATTAGAGAAATACTTAAGAAAGTGATCTCTGTGTGGCTTCTGGATTGATGAGTTTACTTGTACAGGGTCAAGAACTTAAAAGGGGATAAAAATCTGCATAATGAAATGATTAAGATGTAATCAAAGTCATTCGGAATGGTTTGATGTGAAAGGCCCTTCTAGAGAAACTTACTGAGTCAGAACTGCTCACAGTGGTGGTGACAGGAACCAGACATCTGAAGAATTTAATGTCTATAAAAGTTACCTCAAACAAAGCTATTGCATGAAATGGTTATGAATACGTTACCAAGGTTTTGGCCTAAAATTAAGCTTTAAAATCCTTTCATGGTGGAGAGGCACATGTGGGGCAAAAGGCAACATAGTATCCTTTTTTTAACCATCATCAACATTATATAGACAAACTAACACATGTAGATTCACTGGTCATATTGGATAGAAATGAATGTTTGTTGTAGACCCCTGTTTCCTATCACCACCACTGTAAAGAAAATCTGATCTAGTAGGTTAAGTGTCTCTACAGCTCTCTCTGCAGCAGCTGGGCTCTGTCCTGTGCGCCGCCCGCCTGCTGCTGCAGTGTCTGGATTTTCCTCTTCTCTGTGTCAAATGAGTTTACAGACATTTTCGAGCTATGAAAAGAAAACCTGAAGTAAACCAGTTTCACATGAGCCACTCTGAATGACTTTGGTTACATTGAATGAATTCTGCAGAATTTTTGAAAAAATCAGTGGAATTCCCCTTTAAAGGCTACACACATATGGTGTACTTGCATGCATTAAGTCTAGTCTTATACTAAGTTGTAGTGTCAACGGTGGACACTGGAAAGCTTTTTTTAAGCATTTAAACCTAGACTTAATCTGAGCTGAGTCTGGGTAACTAGCCTTCAGTGACAATTCAGTTAGGTTGTATGTTTGTCATTTTTCCTCTTTTTTAGTCCTCTTTTTCCCGAAAGACAGCTATTTGAGAACAGTTAGAGAAAGGCCAGGCCTACAGTCTTAGCTTCTGGCCCTACATGCCACATAAAATGACATGAGGCTGGAATTGGCTTCCTATTCTCCAGCTTCTTGTTCGAATTTTCCCGTTCCACCTTAAATGGTGCAGCCTGACTGTAACTGCTGCACCATTTAAGGTGGAACGGGAAAAATCGACCAGAAAACTAGCGAATAAGAAGCTAACTTCCTTCTGAGTTAAAATGACAGTAGAAAAGAAACAGCTTTGGGTGGATATTCTATGCGAGGCCTATTTACGACCAATGAACTAAACACAAAGCTTAAGTTAACCGAATTGCCGTTCCACCTTAAATGGTGCCAGAATGTAACTGCAGCACAATTTAAGGTGGAATGGAAAAGTTGAATTACAGTCTGGCAGATAGAAAGCCAACTTCAGCCTCGCCAACTGAAGTAAGTGGTTCCATTGAAGAGTGAAAGAAAGGCAGGGATAGACAGCAGGAGCTGCAGCAGAGAGAGGAGCAGAGGAGGGCAGAGTTCAGAGCTCCACTCACTTTCTCCCGGAGTTCCCTCTCGTCGTCCAGCTCTCTCTGCAGCAGCTGGGCTCTGTCCTCCGCATCGTCCGCCTGCTGCTGCAGCGCCTGGATCTTTCTCTTCACGGCGTCTAACGAGTTTACAGACATTTTCACGGAGCTCCGAGCAACAAAAAGAAAACCTGAAGTAAACGAGTAACGCTAACACGCTAGTTAGATACTCAAAACTCGGCAGAAAGGCGATTAGGATTGGTCAAAGTTGAACGAAACAGTGCAAAAAAGTGCCTCAATAAAAGTTAAAGTCAAACTTTAGTGATTTTTCTTCGACTGTTTTCTGTGTTTTTTCCCTTCAAATCTCAGTTTGCTTTTTCCATTCAGACTGCTGAGGCGCTCAAGCTCCGGAATGAGGAAGCCTGGGAAAAAAGTGGAAAAGGCTGAAGAAAGTTACTAAAAATCATCCAATCCTGGGAAGAAGCTGGTTTCTGGAGACATCCCGCCTGCAGGAGGGGGTGGTCTTCCCCCATGAGCGATTCACCGTTGTAGTGAATGAGAGAGAGATTCGAATCACGGAACCGATTCATTTGAACTATCCGATTGAACGAATCGAACGTCCGATTGAAGGATTGAATTGTTTTTTTTCCAGATTATTTGTCCACAAAAAAGTCTATATAAATATTTTGATATTAGATGTGCAAAAAGAATCGATCTAAAGGTGGTGATTCAGCTGCATTAATTAGAATCGATTCCAAAAATATTCAATAAAGTTTGTGCTAAAAAATATCCCATGCTAATTGTCAAACATAAAAAGTTAGTTTGAATCATTTGCATTCTTCCTTTAGTGACATTTTTAAATAATAAATAATTCCAAATCACACCAAAAGAGAGTTCATGATGCACGAATCGATTCCTAAATCATTGTTGAATTGAATTGATGTGCTATGAGGTCAGAGAATTGAACCTGTGTTTAATATACTTACAGCCTATATGCAAAAATTAAACAGTGATTTTAGTGTCGATTAGGTTCACAAAGTTCCCTCAGAGTGTATCTGAAAAGAAACCGGAGCAGTTATCTGCATTTGATTAGAAATGACCCGAAATGGTATTTTTTTTGCTATCTGCCCGGAATAACTGAAACTATCATACAGTGAATGAGAGAGCTGGAAGTTAAAGGAATGGTTTGGTGAGAAATCAAATTTACATAATTTTCCACTTAGTTGATCAGCCAAGACAAGTTTGTTGTCCAAATTTTGCTTCTTTAGTTTAGCGCTGGAGCCCCAAGGCTAACATTGCTAACATACACTTGGAGTCAATGGTCACCCAAATCTTTTCTGTAAATATATCTTCAAAATTTCTCTCAAACCGCATCTAGTTGTTCATTAAGCTCGACCAGATGTGAATGTGTTTTGGGACACAGTGTGTCTTACTGCGAACTATAAAAATGCACAAAACATTGCTGTGTCCAGCGGGCAGCCGCTTTAAACAACAGGTCTGAATTTTGATTCCTGTGCATGTGCTTGACAACTTATCATCTAAGAAATGTCAGATGATTGAAAAATCAGTGAAATACTGAGAAACACTGTGGAAGATGACAAAGGAAACTACCTTAGCCAGTTGATCGAGATTGTGCTTGTTTTTTATTGATAAAAAAAAAAATCATTTTGTGCTTGCCACTCGATTCACATGACTCCTGTAAGAGAGTCGTTCAAAATGATTCAAAACGATTCTTTTGCGATTTGCACATCACTATACTGTTGCCCAGGACCTTTTCAATGTGCACTGAATGCCCACTGGGCTTTGCAAGAGTTCAAGACTGAAGTGCACAAAGTGAAGCGCACACTGCAAAACAAAGAAGCCTTTTGAGCCGACACCTTGACAAATGGCCTGGCCAAAAGTGGGCAGTGGGATTTAGCTTGTCACTTAGCCTGCTTGTAACAACAATCACTGCTGCATTGTGGACATTGATACCCTCCTGGCAGTTGTACTTCTAAGCTCAGGGAATGTTAATAGGTCTCAGTGGCTGACATAACTCATGGTCATGACCCACAACTCCCTTCTCTATCTGTCCCAGCACTGTTTACTTTGGGATTCCCTATGAATTCCCCATCTCGGGTTGTTTAGACATACGTGAAGTGCATTTAAGTGATCTGTAAACCACTCTAAGATCCACTTACATTACTGTGGGCCTTACTTTTAGTGGTGATGGGAGTTACAGTAGTGCAAAAGTCCACTCTTATGTTTTTCTAATTCTTAACCAAAACAGCTATTAAGTACAAAAACATAGCCAAAAGAAAATAGTAAGTAAGGCGTGGACATGAGATTAGTAAGTTGTGGCCACAACCTAGTAAGGTGTGGGAACGAGATCCTAATGCTTGGCCACGACTTAGTAAGGCGTGGAAATGAGATAATTAAACACGTATAAACACCTTTAAAGTTCAGTCGTAGAAGGTGGTTGTATTTTCTGCCTATCACAATCTAAGTAGTTCCAAATACATCCAGTGTTGTTGATGTCTGCGTTCTGAACTGGCCAGATTATTGTTCTGAGAAGACCAGCAACTTCTTTGTTTGATAATTACTATGTCTTGATCTTCTCAGCAGTGTGCTTGGGGTTATTTCCTTCATGTGGAATGAATTATTTCCCAATCTATGTGGGAGAACACAAAATACAAGGAGGATAGACACTTCTAACCACTAGTTAACTGCAAAGACCACCCTTCTCAGACACAATTGCTCTGGTGTTGCGGTGTGCATGGGTGCTGGAGCCTGTCCCAGTGGTCATTGGGCAGAAAGCAGGAAACACGCTGGACAGGTCCAAGTATTAATACTTTTGCTTAAATATGGGTTTAAGCTACTACCCACCTCTCCTTACTATGTTGAAATAATGACTTAAATGACATAGAGAATGACGTAATAACTCATAATATTGACTTATTATCCCAAAAAATTACTTTCTTGAAGTTTATTAACCCCTTATTTTGACATATCTCAAAATCTCTAGAAAATAAGTAATTATTTATAGACACCAAGACAGCATTTTGAACACCAACGGAAAAGAAAAAATGCATTTTCTCCTCTACCTGAAATAATCAAATGCTTCACATGGAAAATGTGAGTGGATGAAGTGATTGGAAATGCACAGTCGCACTAAATTCTCAAATAAATAAAAGCATAGAAAGTTGAAATTGCACTTTTATTGTTTTGTCTCTCTCTGAATGGGCTGTGTATGAATGTGTGTATGTGTGTGTGTGTGTGTGTGTGTGTGCGTGTGCGTGTGCATGTGCATGTGTGTGGTTGGTTGTGGGAGCTGTGGACAGCAGGAATGTGTGTGAGTGTGTTTTCTCCCCCCAGCGGAAGGGCTTCATTACACTCTGGAGGGGAGACTTCACTGTTTGCTTTAGACACATTCCAGCCATTCCTGGGCCTCTGACTGGGGTCTGCCTCAGTGTGTGTGAGTGAGTGAGTGTGTGTATGGCAGGAGGTTACATATGTGTCAGTGAACAAAGAGAAAAGTGTTTTTTACAGAAATAACTATTGTAAGTAAATCTTATTTTCCAGACGAAAAGAGTCCTGGTACTGAGTCCAGTATAAGTCAGATGTTGATGTGCTTGTTTTCAGGACAAAAATGACTTTGACTTTTGAGCTTTTTAACTGCCCTGTAAGCATTTATTTGCTCAGAAAAACACTAAACACATTAAAATATGGTGTGCCTGTGCACGTCATAGGTCTTTGCATATTAACGTCATATGCACAGACTCAAAAAGAAGGTCTGGCTCGATGTTTAGGTCTCAAATCAACATTACACTGATGAAGATATGGTGACAATCGTAGATTATTCACTCAGATCCTCAGAAGACACGTTCTTTACCAAGTTTTGAATGAGTTCTCTTTGAATTCTCTTTTAACTCGCTCACAATTGTCAGATTCATCTGGTTGTGGAGGTTAGAAAATGTTCCACTGCCCACTGTGTGCAACTACACACACACACACACACACACACACACACACATATATATATATATATATATATATATATATATATAGTTAAGTCACACTGCACATCTATCTACCTCAATAATAACATAAAATTATGATTCGTGTTGTAAACTGGGAAACTGACCAGGGACTGTTGTGATCCCCTTTTCTGTAAAGTTTTAGGAACAGTTTGGTGCAAAATCCAATTTACAAACTTCTCTCCTTTTTTTTTCCTAAATGTTGTCAATTAGCCAAGATGTTTGGTGTCAGCAGTTTCTTTAGTTTCCTTAGTTTTATACGGGCCTCCAATGCTATGATGATGAACATTTGGGGCCCTGAGCAACTGCATACCCCCGTCCACCCCAGTCATATTATTTATATGCAAGAATGAAGAAGAATGAATACTTCATTAGTTTCAATCAGGAAACAAACATCAAATGCTGATTTGTAAAAACAGAAGTAGAATCTTTAAATAATTCAATCATCTACATAAATGAAATAGACTGCCAAATAAAATCAAATAAACTGATAAAAATAAAATTAATAACAATGTGTCTTTTAAGTGCATACTTTTTACTTTCTCTACAGACATGATTATCACATAGAAAAAATATATTAATAAAAAAATTACACACTCTCGACAGCTTGTATCACTTATAGCAAGAAACAGCCCTTAATATAACCACAAAACCAACTTCAGACACCGAACATGTCTTGGCTGATTGACTACATTTGAGGTTAAAGGAAAATTGTGTTAATTGTTTTTTTTTCACCAAACTATTTCATTAAAACCAACTCTGGGTCTTTGTCAGATGTTCCGTAGGCATAAGCCGGCTGCACAGCAATGAGTGGCAAAGTCATTTTCAGCCCTTCAGTGGTAAACCGAGTGGAATGTAGAGGAATATGTTTTGCAGAGGACCTGATGGCACGAGTGCTGTCTGATCAAAGCATGTCGTCTGATTTTCCCAGATGGAATGACAATGGTGTGTCTGAACTTTTCCGACTCAACCAGGTGCCAAGATAAGTTTGTGTCATGGAAACAATGACATTTAAAGGGTCCAAATCACGGAAAACCAATTGTCTTTGCTTCTTTGAAATAAGAGTTTGTTAAAGTTTCAAAATGTACCATTTACTCTTCCGTCCATATATGGAAACTGAGCTGCAAAAAGAGCCCATTTCTAATTCATTATGGTTGTGATATCACAGGGTTAATTTACATACACTACTCTTCAAAAGATAAGAATCACTTAATCATATTAATAATTATTGTCATTTTATTCTTTTATAACAAAGGATGTAGATTGGAATATTTTTTATTCAATATTTTAAGTTGTTAATGACAAATAATATACACTATATGGCCATAGTGCACACCTGATCATCACACCTATATGAGTTTGTTGGACATCCCATTTCAAAAACCAACAATTAGCATGGAGTTGTCCATC